AACAAATGTACAAAAGTGCTTGACACAATGGATGTTTGTATGGCTTGTGATAAGAGTTGTACAAGCCCCCAATAAAATGGCTTTAAAAAAACCCCCATGATGTGTACAAAAAGTGGGCAGAATGACACACTGTGAAATTATATAGTACCCTAGTAGATATGCAATTTCAAATAAAATTATGCATACAATGAACCTGGAGGGAACATCCCAAAATTTGAGATATAGCTCTAAAACTCTGAGTAAGGAAAAAAAATCATGAAAGATGTGGAGGGAAAAGCTGGTTTTTTAATAACACATGTGGAAATATTTGATGAGGTGTTTTTCTTTTCCCCAACCCTTCACCTTTTGAACTTGTAATAGAGCCTGTAATAAAGGCTGATACCACCAGTGTTGAAAGTTTAACATTTGTGTTGTGTTAATTAAACTACTTTTTTCAACTTTTCTGAGAGCTTGAATTATTTTCAAAATAAAAAACTTTGGGGAAAAAGTTAAATATACTCACTAGCCCTCAACAAAGATTCATTATATGTGATTGAAGAAGAGATTATTTGTGTCTTATTAAAAGTGCTGGTATTTCTTGAAATTATTTTAAGCTATGAGTAGTAAACTTTTTAGATAGCCTTTTCTGTTGATGAACTAACCAGAGTTTTGAAAGTGAAATCACACTGTAGATTACTATAAGTACTGTGAGTGCACAAGGAAGGGACAGGTCACTAAGAATATAGTTATATTTGCTTATGTTTCATTATTAATGAAGATTTTCTTTCTTTCTGAAAGGATTCTTTTCCATTGAAAGTTCGTGGCATCCATTTGATAAATGAGCCAATAGTTTTTCATGCTGTCTTTTCTATAATTAAACCATTTCTGACGGACAAAATTAAGGAACGGGTAAGTAAACACACATTCCACTTCCTATTGCTCTAGGTTCTCAACCTTCCTAATGCCGCGACCCTTTAATACAGTTCGTTGAGGTGACCCCCAACCATAAAATTATTTTCGTTGCTACTTCATAACTGTAATTTTACTACTGCTAAGAATCGGGCGATCCCTATGAAAAGATCGTTCAACCCCCAAAGGGGTCGTGACCCCAGGTTGAAAACTGCTGGTATAGCGTCTATACTAAAGACTCTGATCCTTTTTGTTTAAGCCCTGCCTGATTGTTCACTCCCATTAGGCCAATATTTTGAACATTTATCCACCAAGCCACCTACTTTCTTTAGCTCAAAATATACTTTCAGTTTTAGAAAATCAAATGTTAGGTTATGGAGAAAGAGGGATTCTCAGACATTGTTGATAGGCTGCTAACTGACGAGTTCCAGATTCAAACCCATCAGCCTTTCCCAGGAAGAACGATGAGACTTTATGCTCCTTTAAAAAGGTGTCTCTTCAGAAGCCCCAGGGAGCAGTTCCCTTCAGCCCTATGCGTTGGAACCCAGTGCATTGGCAATCATGGTGATTGGTGGGAGCGCAAAGCCGTGCGTTCCCTGTAGAGGGCAGCATGGCAACATTTGTCAAAATGACCGTGTTTGCATTTCTGGGCATTTATCCTACAGTTATACCTGTTCATAGGCTTATGCTAAAGGATTCGTGGCAGCAAAGATTAGAAACCACCAAGTGTTGAATGACAGGAATCAACTTTACCATTGCTATACAACAGAGTACAAGATTTTCAGGATATATTGCCAAGTGAAATAGGCAAAATGCCAAATAGTGTTTATGGTATGTTACCTTTCATATATTTAAAAAAAATAAAAAAGGAGAAATCAAAACACAGTTACATTTCCACAGAATTAATAAAATTACATACAAAAAAATAACATATGTGATCCCTATAAGGAACAGAAAGAATGGCTGGGTCGAATAGAGTAGATTAGGATGGGGGGAGGGGGCAAGAAATCTCAACATTCATCTTTTATATTGTTTTGATTGCTGGCCATGTAAGTCCAAATAACACAATTAAATCTTTTTATTAATTAAATATGCATCACTGAAAACCACAGTACCCAAACTTTGTGCGTTAATATGATGTCAGGTAAAAGCGAAGACATTTGATATTTTTATGACCCTTTGAATCCTTAAGTCAGATGAATATGTAATTTCTCTTAGAATTTAAAAAAAACTTTTTAAAATTATGACCTGGGTTGTTAAAAAGAACAAAACAAACAAATGAACAAAAAAGCCATGTGGAGGTGGTGTTCAACCTCCTCCAAATTCATAAGGGAAAGAGAAGACTATATACATCCACACACCAGACGTGCCTCCTTCCCCTTTCATCTTTTATCAATTCTGACACCAACCATCCATCCCAAGGCATTCTGCTTCTCTGCGGGGCTTGATAATTCACAATTATCTACATATAACCCCTTTCTAGGGGGATGGACAACAGAAAAGTGGGTGAAGGGAGACGTCGGACAGTGTAAGATATGACAAAATAACAATAATTTATAAATTATCAAGGGATCATGAGGGAGGGGGTACCAGGGAGGAAAGGGGAAAAATGAGGAGCTGATGCCAAGGTCTTAAGTGAAGAGTAAATGTTTTGAGAATGTTGAGGGCAATGAATGTCCAAAATGTGCTTGACATAATGGATGGATGTATGGATTGTGAAAAGAGTTGTAAGAGCCTCCAGTAAAATGATTTATATAAAAAAGAAATACTCAGGAAACAATTGCTCTTCACTTCAAGTTCTTTTTCAGTCATGCCCCCAGGCATACTTCTGTCCAGCCTCAGCCTCTCAGCCATTAGGTGCAGTTGGCCTCCATCCAGCTCAAACATGTTACAAAGCTCCTTTAGTAGTGCTGAGAAATGCTTAAAGGTGCACCATTCTGCTTTAGTCTCAGCCCAAAGGTGCCGCACTCTAGCTCTTGCACCCTTGACTAACTGCCTGGAGGCAACCATCTCCTCCTGCCTCAGTTTCCTTCACGGGTCAGTTTCATTCACCACTCTGTCTCTTGCTCTGGCTCAAGAAGCTCTATTGCTGTTGCTTTTCTCCCACTTATCTGCTGCGTCTCTCCGATGTCAGTTTTCTGTCTGGATTAAGGAAATTCATTATGCAAGGATCTCTGTGTCCAAAATATGCCCTCCATTCCTGGCTTTTAAAAGATGTTTTTTTAAGGGTAGTGATTCCACAGATTTTGTCTCTTGCCGATTTTGTTCAGCTTCTTTTCCTGGTGTCAGGATCTACTTTCCTCTGAAATTCCGAGTTCCAGAAATATCGATTTCATGTGGCTGCTTATATCTTTGTTGTAGGTGGTTTGAGTAGCAGGTCTGTATAGTATCCCATCTAGCTGGAAATCACTCGCAATTTGCTTCTTTATCCTATCCTTCTTAGTGTACGTTTCCTGGATTATAATTTGTATCTGTTTCTTATAGCTTCTCATGTCTTTGTTGTTGAACGAGAGTCAGGGTAGTTTGTACGCCTCATCCATCATGTCCCAGCCTCTGGATTTTTAAAATACTGAAAATAGTCTACATTTCCAAGAATGGCAACCACTCTGCTCTGTTGATTTTTCTCTCTGCAATGTAGCTCTGAAATAGCTGGCCATCTATTGTTTATCTCTAAAGATTAAAAATAAGTATTTTGAATTTCAGGGATACTCTGAACAAATAAAATCCAAAACAAGTAAAACTGAACCCAATACATAGGATATACAAGCAAAAAACGTGAGAGGTGGGATAAAAAATTAGAGAAGCACTCTATATTATGAAACACAAAATAAGAAGAATAAACCAACCCAGCCATGAACACCTGATTTCCCATTGTTTATTTATCAGTATCAAATGATAATTTGCAAAATTATTAATCACCTATGAATGTTGTACTTTCCCTCTTCCTGAGAGTTAATAGATTTTATTTTTATTTATTTTTTCCATTGACACTTAATATATATTTTAAAAATGATAATACTTTGAATATTTCAAGACAAATCAAGAATAGGGACAGTGAGATATTTGAGTACAGGAAAATTTTTTTAAAATTCTCATTTCCTAGCCGAGAGCAAGTATTTAATAAATGTTTGTTGAATGCATAGGTGAAAAGTTTGTCCCAGCAAATGCACGAAGGAAGGTTATTTGTTCAGTTATTTATGTTACCAAGATGTGTTTTTTGATTCAAGATTACAAGGTTGTTTTGGTTAACTCAAAGTATTAAGTGACCAATTTTTATAGCTTAAGATATTTGAAAATTTAAAGTTTTCAATTGTAACAATTCTCTTAATTTTTGTATTAGTAAGAATTGCATCAACTACATTTCATAAATTATTCCTTCTATACTTGTGTTTTCAGTTATATGTTCATATTTAATATGAACTAAGCCCAAGGGATGCATTTGGTTTCTCTTCTGAATAGTTCTAGAATATTAGACATTTTGCTAAGAATTGCTTGTATATCAGGGAATAGAATTTATAGAATGTTTTTATTTAGATTTTTAAATTTACTTTTGAAAGGGGAAAATGCTATCGTTTAATAAATCTTGTGTACTTATAAGAGTGTAGATTTAAGGAAACAGTAAGATTACTAAATTCATAGGTAGTACAATCTACATCTTAGTAAACTTTAAATGTAAAGCAAAAGAGCAGAAGAATGACATCGCATTTCTCTACAAATGTCCTTTTTTCTTTGAAGTTGTTAGTGTTCCTTGTGCTATGGTGTTGATTTTCTATTGAAATGTGTCTACTCCCATTGATAGGTGGAAGAAATACCTTCTAAAACATTTTGGCTATTTCAGATTCATTTGCATGGAATCCATTACAAGCCAAGTTTACTACAGCACTTTCCAGACATTCTCCCTCTCGAATATGGTGGTGAAGAATTCTCCATGGAAGACATTTGTCAGGAGTGGACAAATGTTGTAATGAAGTCTGAAGATTATCTGCACAGCATTTCTCAAACCAGTTTGTGAGAAGTTTTTAAAATGTGAATGGCTTCCTAATCAACGATACATGAGGAGAATGCTCCCTGATTACTACATGAAAGAATAAAAAAGCTCAAGGGAGGGAAGAGAAAGGAAGAAAGAAAATGAGATAATCTTTAAAGGTAATTAATGGTTGATTGACATTTTGAAAGTACAAAAACCCTTTCGACATCGACAACATGGGTATTGGGGGAGGCTTTTATTTTTTAATGAAGCTTCTTTACCTTTGAAGTAACTAATGGCGGTACACCTTAAAAGCAGAGTAGAGGTTCTTGATTTTGGCCCTTAAAAAGATAACATAAAAAGGATGTCTGTATGTTTCTGGAAATGGTTTCATTATTGCAATTTTGCTGATTACATTACTTTAATAAAAAGTATATACTATAATCCACCATAAAAATATCAGTAAAAATGGACTGATAATTAAGAACTATTAACACGCAGTTTGGATGGCTGTCAGATAGTTAAAATTCAGATTAGTTATTTTTGTGCACCAGTAAAATAGTTCATCTCAGGGAAATTCTGTTTTCATACATTTGCACAAAAGAAACTCTTGAGTGATGAATCTATATGCTAGAAGCCATTGAATGTAGCATCTAGAGGTGTCCTTGAAATTAGTCATATAGATATAATTGGGAAACAAAAATAATGTATCATTTCAGAGCTGGAATAATATTTAATTCTTTCATACCTGAGCTCTACTTTTAATTGAACAATAACAACTAAACAGTGGAAAGGAAATGTTTACATTTTTAAGATTGCTGTACATTATATATGAAATTTTCATGAAATGTATTTAGATTTTACTATTATATCAGAATATTCTAATAAAATCCTATAATTCATATTTGCTTTAAAAATTAGTTATATGACATTATGACATTTATACTGTAGTTTATGCCTAAGAACATTTCATTTATTGAGAAAGATATAATCTCAGTCCTTATTTAGCTTCCAATGTATGATATAATTTTTAAACTTAGTGCCTTATAATGTCTTAATTTTATATTAAACTTGAAAATAAAGAATAAAAGTTGAACATCTGTTGAACACTTGTGAAACGAGTTGAGTTTCAAGTTTAATCACATAATAGCATCATTGTGAAAGGATATATGAAGGATGTTTTTCTTTATAAGAAAATTAGTGTAATCAGGTGAACTGATATTTATGATTCTTTATACATATATCTGTGATAAAATTTAAAGCAATTTTGTATGTTCTTTAAAGAACATGTTTGATTTGGTTTAGCATTGGGAAGCCAACTTTATTATAATTTTAATTTAAAAATTATATCCGGTTTGTTTACTAAAAATATTTTGAAGTCTTTACAAAAGTCATAAAATTTTTATGAGTTAAAAATTTAAAATTACACTGGAACAAAACTAGCTGAAAAGAACAAAAGCAACAAAAAATGTAATGGTCTTATCCAAATTTCGGTACTAAAAGAATTACAGCATATAGTTCTACTTTGTTTGCACTTAGATGCTTCAGAATACTCCTATGACTCTATGACCAAATTATTAGTGTGCACACAAATAAAAAAGATTATTCTGTCACTTAAGTATGGTACCTTAGTGACGTGGCTACCAATTCAATTAAGAATTAAGTCAATACATGTAGCTAGCTATCTTTTATGATGAACTTTGTAATATGTGTATAATATTCAACAATTCAAATATTCAATTTAGAAGAATATTTTATAAAATGTGGAATAAACAATTTTAGTAGCTACAAGATAAATATCTATCTTAATTGTGATTGTACCAGAGGATCCTTTAAAAGATCTCTAAAATGTTCTCAATGTGTTACTTAACTGCACAATACTTTGTTTTACTCTTGTTCAAATGAAAATAAACATCTTTCTCATAAACTGTGGCTTGCTATTTATTCTTTATTTTTAAATATGAATATTATGTACTCTTTTCAAAAGCTGATTTTCCTGAAAGAAAAGCTTCTAAAAAATAAAAAAAGTGACTACATCTAATTAAGGCTATCATACACAGACCTTGGTAGAATGGGAAGAACCAGGTGGGATAGACCCTCAAATTCCTAAAAAGCAAAAACTAACATACTGGCCTGGTGGATTCTTATACCAAAACTAACTTTGGGGATCATCGGACAGCTAAATAACAGGTATCACCCAAAAGTACTATATTCCTTTAAATAATAACCTATATAAAACCAAATAGTCAATAATTACTTTAAAACAAAGATGAAAATGTAGGGGGTTAGGGAAACTAGATTAATGGAAATGAATCAGAATGGCAATGGTAATAATGCTCATACATTGTGAAGTGTGTTACCAATATCACTGTTTGTATGTGCTGTAAACACCACGGACCCCTATATCTGATCACCTGACTACCCTACTGCCAAGAGGCAAGGGTCAGATATGCATTCATGCTCTATCCTTCTTTACTTAGTATGACATAGCAACCACTGTTTCCATGGTAATCTAGCTGTGTGCTAAGTGCAATAATTTGTTACAATGGCCTCACAGAACACACTGACAATACCATTATGGAGTTTGTTAGGGAAATTAATAGGTTGCTACAAGTCTGGATCAATGAACAGTGAGGACACAGTCATTGGCCCACAACATCTCTCCTTGGCCAGCAACCAAGGCTTTCTCTGGTTGGCAGCCACATAGTCCTTTGGCCTCTGCCTTTGGGAAGCAGGAAGCCAACTGTTGATCTGCCTCACAGTCCATAGTCTTGGTGTTGCTCATTATGCCACAGTCTCTGGTGACTCTGGTCTCAGCCTCCACCACTTCAGACAGAGACCTGGAACTTGCTCTTCTGATGGTCCGGTGCTTGCTCGCTCTCTCCCTCTCTCTCTCTCCTGTTGCTTCAAAGATAACTCATCCCTGGAGCCAGGGAGGTGGTAACAGAAACTAAGGAATCCACTCCATTCATGTTACATTTGTCCTATTTGCATAGTTTTACCTAATCATTAGGTGGGAGTTACAGAGAATTGGGTAGAAGAGCCCTATTAACAAATTTCACCTCACCGCAATGTAGAAAATGTTTGGTTACCTAAACTTT